TACACTTGTGTGTTTAAATGAATTTCTGTCTTTACCTAATGTTTTAGTTTATAGATCATCGTCTTAAAAAATTATTTATTTTTTATTTATTTATTTTTTTTTTTTTTACAGTTTTGTGCTTTCTAAACTTTTCCTCCATTTATTTGTGCATGAAATTTGTTTTAAGTACTTGCTGTTTTCTTATGTTGACTCCTTTTATTTTTCTTTGTGTGTTGCTCAAATGTTTTGTCTTTTATTTATTTCTTTTTATGTCTGTTTATCAATGTCTTTGGTTACACTTGTGTGTTTAAATGAATTTCTGTCTTTATGAACTCTAATGTGATAATTGTGCTCTTATGTGTATATATGTACATTTTATTATAAATATGTTTTATGTTTCTAATCGGTAAAAGAGCTTTATAGCTCATGTTCTTTGTTATGTGTCTGTAGTCCGACTTTAAATAAAATTTACTACTACTACTACATGAATATTTTGTCTGCTCGATTGGTTTGGTAGGGTAGACTTAGAAGGCCTTCTCAGCCTTCCACGTCAGAGATGGAAGGATAGCATTCTAATATGGCGTCAAGCGGGTGGGTGAAAACTTGGGAGATTTTTATTATTGTATATAAACCAAACTTTGCAGTTGCAAATAAGTAGTTTTATCATGTGTGAAGGGTAATTCTGTTAAGAAGCATTTTTATGTCATGTAATTGCAGTAAAATCAACCACCGAACACGGTTTCATAATTTACCATGTAATATGGGGTGCAGATTTGAGCCGTAAATAGGTCCCTGATTTGACCATAATTATTATTTTTTTTTATATATACATGCTCTTTAATATTCTTCTGTCTCAGACAATTGATGTTTTAAATCTTTCTTTACATAAATAAAAAAAATTCCCAATACTATTATTTTAAATTAATTTTCCACTCTTAATTATCTCTTCAAGTTTCCCTTTCGAACTAACACGGACTTCGGTAATCCTTTAAAAAACGGATTCAAATTCTTGAAATTCAACAACTGCAGTAATACGTAATATCGCGAGTACCAATGAGTACTGCGCAGTTATCTAACTTACTACCGCTCTTTTGCGGGGGAGTCGATAAAGGTCTAAATTTCTGGGGCACATGCCATTGTTTACAGTAGTGACAATCGAATGATTCGAACAATTTAATGCCGAAAGCACAATGTTTTGCCAGATATTGAACTCCAAATAGTTGATTGTCAAATAAGGAAAGGTTAGAATAATTATTTTATCTGCTTAAAAATGTGACGATATTCGCATCGTTAGAAATATCGTTAAAAATTTAACAATTTAGGACTGGCTCCTCTCAAAAATTTATTAGGCTGGTTCAGCGATTGTTTAGCAAGGCATTCCACAAGGATTTTTTACTTATCTGTCCTTATAGATTCTACGATGATCGATCTTGCACTGTATTGAATAGCACATTTGCCCCCAGCCAACAGACGTTTCCTACCTCCATCGCCAAAGAGTTCCGCTACGTGAAGTAATCGCGATATCAAGTATTCAAAACATTGCAGATAATATTCCATCGTATTCAATACCCTTCTGAACACTCGATTTTGACATACATATTCCAACCCTTCCAACATTCCCCTCTGCTTCTAGAAGGGTCCCAATGCAGTGGGCCCGACGTCTAGCAAAGATGGACTGGCTTAGCTTCTGTACATTCAATAGGGGCCCATTCGATTGGGACCCTTCCAGAAGGAGATGGGAATGTCGGAAGGGTTAGAATATTTGTATGTCTAAATCGAGTGTTCAGAAAGGTATTGAATACCATGGAATATAATCTGCGATGAATGTTTTGGATTACTGCAGTTGTTGTTTTTTAAGAATTTGAATCCTTTAATTTAAAGCATTAAATGTTAGTTCGAAAGGGAAACTTGAACAGATAGTTGAAGAGATAACTAAGAGTGGAAAAAATATATTTAATGTAATAGTACTGGGAATTTTTTATTTATGTAAAGAAAGACTTAAAACGTCAAGTGCCTGAGACAGGAGAATTTTAAACTATACATGACTGTATAAATATTTAAAAATAATTATGGTCAAATCAGGGACCAAAATACGGGTCAAATCTTCCCATATTACATGGTAAATGAAACCGTGTTCGATGGTTGATTTTACTGCAATTATATAACAGAAAAATGCTTCTTAACAGAATTATCCTTCACACATGATAAAATACTTATTTGCAACTGTATTTTGTTTTAAGTTTGGTTTATTTACAATAATAAAAGTCCCCATAATTTTCACCCGCTTGACGCCATATTAGAATGCTATCCTTCCGCTTTTGGTGTGGAAAGCTGAGAAGGCCTTCTAAGTATACCCTACCAAACCAATCGAGCGGACAAAATGATTATTCTGAAACACGAAGGAGTAGGACTGCTTTATATCAGACTGACGTGCAGTTTCCCCAAGTAGGGACTTCATGTTTTGTTAAAGCTGATGGTTGGTTTGTGACGATTATTTGCAAGATTTCGCATTCTTGTATACTATTTTAGTACCTATGTATTGAAATTTACAAATAAAGAGCATTTTTGTTTGAGTATTATTAAAGATTGAAAGTACACTGTAAGACCAAGTGACGCAGATTAGACGTTTGAAGCTTTGTATCATGAAAACGTTTCCAAAAATATTTATCTTTGAAGAGTCACCTGCGTTGTCTGAGTCGCGGAGTAAGGAGTAAATCTTTACGTCGCGGGTTCAAATCCCACCGTGGGACGTGGTTCCGGTCCTTCGGATAAGACTGGATAAACCGAGGTCCCGTATCACAGTAGGTGCTGGCGCAAAAAAATCCTCATCAGCGTTCAGGAGCACTCGATGCACAATACGGTTCTGATTTTGCAGCCCTCCACAGGTAATTGTTGGCGTCTCAAAATGAGTAAAAAATTTCAAAGAACATTAAACAAACAAAGAAAAAATTCAAACAACTATCTTTTAAGTTCTGTTATATACTTTACAGGATCACGTCGAATCTGACTGACTTGCTTTATTAATGTCATAATGAAATCAGCATGGATTCCATCTATAAGATTGCAATCAAGAAAAAAGTAACTTGGGAGATTATGTGTAGCCAAGCAATGAAACAGGTCGTCAAGGAGACCAAGTAAATTAGCTGCAACGTGGTCTTCTGTCCAGGACGAGGCTGGAAAGGCGTGGCACGCGCGGAGGAATATCATCTTCAAATGGTAAGAGTGGAGGAAATCAGGGTAATTCAAATGCCAGTATCGTATGCTTTTAAACAGCCTGTAACAGGTGATGGCAAATGGGATTTTTTCCTGAATTTCACGCAGAAGACCAATTTCTAATCTGTTGAACGACAACCTCCATTCAATGCTTGCATGTCCTTTTGGAGAACATTTTCCTACTAAATGTAAAGATTCATTTTTTAATCGTTGTACCGTATCATCTGACAGCCATGCGGGTTTTCCGTGATTTTCCATCCAAGGAAGAAACCCTCCTGGTAAAGTCCTGGAAGGGAGTTCTAAAGCAACAACTAAATCACAGCTAACTTTAATACTGTCAAATCCCCCTAAACATAGCGTCACGGCGGGGGGATTAAATTCCAATTTAAACTTGTCTTTCAGAAGTGGAATTTGTCCAAATATATGTTCAATCTGTTCATACAAGTCTTTCACAAGAAGGAAAGGATTTAAGTACATTTCACTTTTTCGTCCTGGAGAGGTAGGGGAAGTGCAGAAATGTCGCCATTTAAGTCTATACTGGGGGCTGTTCACGTAGAGAAGATAGTACCCCTTGGGTGTCCCCTCCTGTTGTACCATAATGACCGGGCTGTCCCTCGCCGTACCAACCTCTACATCCCGAAATACACACAAGATATCCATTTCAAACTCCATCTCCACCTTTCCATCAGCTCCTTTTGACATGTTGGGAATGTTGACTCCCTCTGACGTACTACCCGTCCACAAAAACTCCACACCAGCGTACCGTGGGTGTCTCTGTAAAGGTTTGTGTAAACAGTTCTTCAGAGCTGAAAATGTCATCTATCACTTTAAAGCCTTCCTGTCCCAGGAATTTTTCCTTTATGGCATCATTTAAAGCCGGCAAGGACTGACCAGATAGTCGGTCAAAGTCCGAACAATTCTCTGCTTTCTCCGCCATTGTAATCGAGTTCCGCGATCTGTATACATCTTTACGCTTGAGGAAACTCTTTCACTCGCAGAGCGCGAAAACTTTAAATTTAATGTATACCTACCTGAATGCGATATCTGTCAATAGTGAAAGAGTTGGTTGTTGTATTTTAAACGTCCCTTGGAGAATTTATCACTTTTATCAGGACACCAACCATTGTCCGAAGTAGATTGCCAAATTAGACTTGTACTCGGCTTTTTATGATCAATTGTGCATTAATTGAGACTTTTGTCAGTGCCAGCGACAACCACAATACCGGTTATATCGTCTTATCACATGAAAGGTCTCACTCCTCGCAGTGGGATTCGAACCCGCGACGTAAAGACCAACTCCTTACTCAAACTCTTTATAAAACAAGAAGCCAAACCACTGAAGGAAAATAAACGTGTTTTTCTACTTAGAAAAAAAGTCTTAATAAAGGCTAGCTTAAAAGTATAGAGAAGAGTACATTCGTTAGTTACGAAATATCTTCCATAAGAGATAATATGAACCCAGGCCCCGTGTCACAATAGGCATTGACATGCTTAGGAACCATTGATCCAAATGCCAAAAAGGCCTTCACCGGCATCTGGTAACGTCATATCAGTAATCAAAATATTTGCAAGGAGCGTCTTAAAAAATACAGTATATGTTGAGAATTTTGTCTTTATAAAAGTATTCCTTTTTATACTGAGACAAAATTCTTCATGAAGGCTATTTTCATCAGCTATTCTTATTTTCTTCAATACAGGATATCTTAAATTAAAACATTTTCCGTAGAGAAGATGATTTTAAAAAAGAATATTCTGGCTGCATCGTATAACAACATTTGCATAATTTTATTATTTAGACAACTGCCCCTTCAATAAAATAGAAGTCGAACATTTTTCTATCTTATGATTGGTAATGATAAATCAACAAAATTACTCTCTGAAAAGTCACTCTAATTGTATAAACAGGTACTTCAAAGTTGATATTAAAATCATGCTGGAGATCTCATGGAAAGTATTTAATTGAAAGTATTTATTTAGTCTTGGGAGACAAGGCTTTCCAACAAACAGCTGATATTCAAAATGACACGTAATTGTGCTCCTTTACCAGCTGTCCTGTTTTTATATTCCCATTAAGCAGAATTTATTTAAAACACTTGCTATGAGCTTCAACTCGACATTTCGATACTAGTATTTAGACGATAAATTAACAATAAACAATTGTTACTTTCATTCATGGAGAGTCAAAGGCTGATGAAGGTCTCGAGGGGTGTAAATTATGTCACTAAGTTACACTATTTATGATTATTCTTGGTGAGTATTCGATTTTAGGGTTGTCACGTGGTCATATAATATAAATAGTCGAAGCGTGGAGAACAAGTAATTCTGCCGCTAGCTAGAAAGCAAGGTAAATCAAGGGCTGAACTTGTTGATGGATACTTCGTCCGATTATACCTTCCATGTAATACGACTGTACAAATTATTTGACAAGAAACTGGCAAAGTAACAAATGAGGACATTCCTTGAACGTTTAGATATAGAATGGGGAGTTGGGGGTTGGTCGAGAGCATCATGTAGTTTTCTTCAGGAAGTCGATTGTTCCGGAAGTTGTTTGTTGCGTTATTTCGTCAATATACGAGATGCTGAAACAATCTGTTCCCGTGACTTCTATTTCTACACGTCCTCTGACATAAACAGGCCACTCCCCTCCCGGTGGGTACACGCTTATCAAACCATGAGACCTACATGTGGGGTCGGTCGTATACAGAGGCGAGTGAAGCGAGGACGAGAACACCTCGATTTCCTTGTGCTCTCTTCTGTCTTTTTGACGATCTTCACCCACATGACTGATATTAACACTGATAGATCGTTTTGTACCAATGGCTAAAGGTTCATCTACTTCAAAAAACTTTTCAAAGCAATCATCAGATCTCCATTGTCCGTCTTCTAGGAAACTTTTGGATACATCATGGACATGGGGATTGAATTTTTTAAGAACTGCTATTCCGTACGTGTATGGACACATTCGAGTTTGGATTACACTGCTATCATATCCAAAAATCACTGCACCCTTCAAAACAGCCAATCCTGCGTCTAAAGGAATCTTGACGTCATATCCCGGGAAACTCTCTCTGAATATACTTTGCACCATCTTTGATTCCGAAAATCCTCCAACCATTATTAACGTTTTTATTTGTTGACACTGAACATTTTCCTTTATAATGGTCTTTACTAAATTTATAGTTTTATCACATATTTCCTTAAAGTGATCTTGGAAATAAGAACAACTAACGTTTATCTTATTTCTCTTCCTTGCCTTAATTGTTTCATCCAATTCTGCGTTTTTTATTGCCGTTTCTAAACTTTTGGCATAGAGATCCATAAGTGAATTGGGAATGTCGAGTGATATCGTTTCGTTTCTGTCTTCAGAAATCAATCTCTTCTTTATTTCAATAATCTGTAACAAATCAAAGAAGTCATCCATATTATTTTTACAGAATTCATGGAATATGGAATCCCCAAAAAGTTTGACAAATAGTTCAAGGAAGCATTTGTTGACTTTGTTTCCTCCCCACGGTCCCCCCGAGGCCTTATACAGGTTCTGAAACTTGCCTGCCGCCGAAACTTTCTGAACTGTGATGTCTGAAGTTCCACCTATGAATAAAAGTAAGACAGTTTTGAGAACATATCCCCCTGGATTGTTTAATTTATGATTATACCTAAAATACAGAAATAGAAAATCCTTTGGATACCTACCACCTAAATCGATAACAACATATGGCTGATCTACCACGAATTCAGGAGGTTCCTCCCTTTGGACAGTTCTGTCTGGTGTAAGCCGCTTACAGTAAAGTGCTGCGGCCTCGGGCTCAAGAGCCAATGCAAGACGTTGTCGACACATTCCCGCCTAAATGGATCGAAATAAAAGTAAGATTTTCTTTCTAATTATTCCATATGTCATGTGTTTTATTTTTAACAATATGACTTTATCTATAAGTCATTCAGTGTGAGATTAGTTTTTCTTTTGTTTTTTGAATTTTATTTTATGGACCGTTACATCTTTCTAGGGGATTTTTCATGCCTTTTAGCAAATTTAAAGTGATCAAAACATTTAATGTATTTCGAAAAACGACAGATTTTAAACACCTTTCAGTTCAATTTACTGAGTATAGGTTTTCAACTAAACTAAGTAGTAGAAATTGGTATTCTATTGCAATATTTACCATGACGGCAGCCTCTCTCATGAACTGCTTTGCTGCATCACTCCATATCGCTGGGACCGTCACCACATAGAAGATGAATTCCTCCATTACACCCATGTTACGCCCTTGAAGCATGTCAAGAAAGTGTCCTCGGAGGAATTTTAAAGATTCTGCAAATATTTTTAGGGCTGATGCGTATTTTCCGTGGATATCTTGGATCATTGAACTTTCAGTTAAATCCTGAAGAAGGAACAGGAGATGTATATTTTTTATGCGCCCGAATCGAAAGATCCGAGGCGTATATTGTTTTTGTCTGTCCTGTCTGTCTGTCTGTCTGTTTGACTGTTTATCTGTTTATCTGTTTGTCTGCAAACTTTAACCTTTGCCATAACTTTTGAACCATGAGTGATAGAGACTTCATACTTGGTATGAATACTCCACTAATTAAGCTCTTTCAAATGACACTAAGGTCAATGACCTTGTGACCTTGACAGTGACCTACATGCTAAAAATAGTTTTTTCTGCAAACTTTTACCTTCGCCATAACTTTTGAAACATAAAAGATAGAGACTTCATATTTGGTATGCATACACCACTAATTATGCTCTTTTAAATGACACCATGGTCAATGACCTTGTGACCTTGACTGTGACCTATACGCTAAATATAACTTTTTTGTCGGCAAACCTTATCCTTTGCCATAACTTTTGAAAGAAGAAAGATAGAGACTTAATATTTAGCATGCATACACCACTGATTAAGCCCTTTCACATGACACCAAGGTCAATGACCTTGACTTTGATCTATATGCTAAATATATGGGGTTTTTTTTAACTTTGTTGCCGCCGGGCGCATAGTGTTTCACGAACACATCTTGTTTAATAATTACAAGTACATGTAGGCCTACTTCAAATTGACAATAAAAGACTCATTACTTCTAATTAAACAAGATGTGTTTGTGAAATACTGGTGCCCCTGTTTTGCAACATTGCGAAGGTTAAACTTTTTCAAATGCAATTCAAATACCTTGGTACCCAAATTAAGCCCTTCTCACAAGAAATACAGTTGTGAAGTAAGCCAGCAACACCTGTTCAAAAGTTATGGCCAAGGTTTAAGTTTTTAAAAGGTAGAACGAAGTCCAGGGTCAAGGTCAAATTTGTTGGTATCCAATGTCTTGTCACAAAGAATACAAATATGAAGTATGAAAGTCTTAGCATCAACCGTTGAAAGGTTATGGCCAAAGTTTGGTATTTTTGTGTAAAAGTGTGTAAAACTCCAAGGTCAAAGGTCAAATTTGGTGATACCCAAAAAAGGTCTTTTCACGAGATATATACCTGTGAAATATGAAAGCCATAGCACCACCTAGTCAAAAGTTATGGGCAAGGTTAAATTTTTGCGGACAGACAGACGGATGGACAGGGCAAATACTTTATACCCCAAATCTTCAATTACGGGGGCAAAAATATAATCTAAATGATATTTTAAAATGAAAATTGAATTAGTGTCGGAAGCAGTATATTTATGCTTGCATATTCATTATAAATAGCACCTACAAACCTTATCATATAAATCCATTTTGAAGTCTTTGAAATAAAACCAATCTGCATCTTTTTCATCTTCGGCTAATTTGGCAAATTTAGTATTCGCTTCATGTCCGAAGACCTGGAAATTCATGATGGGGTCCAGTAAGATGGCCGTGGGTGTCTTGTGAGACAGCAGATCGCTCTCCCAGTGGCTGGAGTAAATATCACACCCATTGTTTGTGAGATTTTGTCTGGGGGCAAAAGCATACCCGGAATACGATGTGCCAAGATCTATAGCACAAATCATTACACATTCCGTCGACATTCTTTGTATCCACTAGTGATAAAATAAGGAACACATCTTTGTGTTATTACGCAGAAAAGTTTCTTGCAAAACAATAATTGATCCACTGAGCACCTGTCTACTTTCGGTTTGCTTGTAAAGGCAAATACGGGAGCACAGGTGGACAACGGAACTCACCTTTAATCATGTTTGAAAGTACATTGATAAATAAGTGGATATGTGGGAGAATGTACAAGGCTAATACAGACACCTACAGTATATACTAGCTTATAAAATTTCTGGAAGTCATTTTGGTCCAGAAGTTGATGTCCGAATAATAAGCTATGGAGTGAATCATGGAATGAGGGTTGATTTTTTTCAGTGGTAGGGCGTCTTTTTACAGAGGAAAGGGTCTAGTGTCGCCTTAAGGCCCTTAGTGGGTCGAGTGTATTTAGTCCTGGTGGAGGCCCAAGGGGCAAAGCTCCCAGATGTTCACGAATTTTAGTGATTTTAAAAGAATTAAGAGTTCGTTAACCCTATAACTGGCCTTCATAGGTATAGTAATACACAATTCTACAAACATTTTGTATCAATAGTCATACTGAATAAAATTTCTCATCCGAGAACTTTTTTTACTCATACTTATAACTGCACTATGGTACATATCACAAATCCAGGGACAGAGGTGAATTCAATGGAAGGCATTTCAACGTGTAATCAGTTAATCATTATACATTCACACTGTCAGTGACAGCCTTGTTTAAAAAGGTAGACTGTTTTAAGTCCAGCAATTCTAGATCGGTGCCTTGACATGCTTTGGATGTAAATCTCAAGAACACGTAAGCAAACAACGTCTTAAAATTAAACCACTAGACAGCAATATCTTTACTGAGAGCAAACGTTGAGCAAAAAAAGGAGCTAAAACAAGCTGTAGCTTTGGCCCATAAACTTGCACAATCCATGGATAAAGGGTGACAACAAGATCTCATCATCATAAACTCTTTGAAACCCTTTGTTAAGTTCCCGGCACACCAACGAGGACAAGATTGTTTGCAGTTGATGCAGAGAGAGCCTCGAGGTTTTCCAGTACCTGCTTAAAGACAAACATCACAGGTAGTTTATACCGTCAAGTATTTAGGAGTCAACATGCATAGATGAATTATATGGAGATAACGAACAGTATTCGATATCAAAGTCCATAAAACAATAAAGAAAATAGAAGCAGAGCAAACAAGGACCTCCAAAACATCAGAGGTGGGATCAGGTACCATGGAGGAGTGAGCATCCCCTGCCGACCGATCACACCCGCCTTGTGCTACTTGTCATGATCGGGAAATAACGGAAAAATCCGTCGTCAATTCAGAGTATAAATAATGAACTAACAATTAGTATGAATAACGTCAGTCAGCAATTAAATCATTTAAATGATAAATTATATTTGCTGATAAGGTCAATGTATCGACCATAGAACTTAGAAACAAAGTGATGACTTTGTATCTAGATCTAAAGTGAAAACATTTGGTAAATAAGATTGTCAAGAAAGGCAACCAAAAGGTAAGGATTTTTGAAGAGAAAGGAAAAGATTTCTTCTAGCCCGGAAACGAGGACCCACTTGTTATTCCAAACCAGGCTTATTGTGCATCAATGTGAAATCCACATCATGTTGAATTAAAGTTAAAAAGCTTGAGATGGTCCACCATGAGAGGATACTGCAATAAAAGCAGCGGGACATATTGATGATTACGTCATTTTACGTCTTATTCCAGAATTTTTTTTCTCATTTATAGCAACGTCACCACAAACAGGTGAAGGGCTTCCAATTGAGACCTTTGCTTTTTACTCTGGGCCGTTGAGTAACGAGGGATCTTTATCGTGCAAACACCTCTCCTGACACAGGGCTTCAGTTTTAAAAGTCTCATCCGAAGGACCTGCAGCTTTAACTTCAAAGTACCGAGCGTTTGACGAAGGAATTTATCATCTTAGGTCAGTCGCGGCCGGGGTTCGAACCCACGACCTTTCGATCACAGAGCGAGGCGTGACAGATACATTTAAGTTGGGAGAACATTTACTAGGAGCCTTTCAGGGTCATTCAAAATTTCCAATACCTTATTGTGTATCTACAACTTAAGGACACCACTTATTGTATATCTACAACTTAAGGACACCACTTATTGTACTCCAAGAAGATGAATCACTAGAAGTTAAAGTACTGAAGGAGAAAAAGAAGAAAAAAGTGTAATATACCGGTATGCACTGATGGAACCAGGGTGATAAAAATATGCAAAAACTTTCATTAGAAATTGTGTGTATAATTAAGAAAAAAACAAAGTACCCAGGTAAGTGTTTGCTTTAATATCTAAATTCTATGAGTCTTTAATTTGTCACTCTTCTGTACATGTATTCTGAACAAGTTACAATAAAATCGGGCAAAGGAACTACACCATTTTTCAGATTATAAGTTAGTGCTGGATGATTTGTTTTATCTACCCATGAATAGACCTCATCGCCATTTTCAAAAATTTTTTCGGCTTGAAGCTGTCCTACAATGCTTCCAAGATTTAATCTTCTATATTCTGGCATCACATGCAGCATTCCACAACATCCATACTCTTGCTGAAGTATCCAAGCTACTGGTTTGTCATCTTTATTGAGAATGCACGTGCTTGGCAATATGTTAATCATGTGTACAATATATTCTTTAGCTTCTCTATATTGCAAATTACTGAGGACTAACTCCACGTTTTCCTCTTCTAAACGTTTCTCTTTAAAGCCATCAGGAAGTGTACTGAAAAAAGACAACATAGATCGTAGGGTTCGTAACTACTAGTTTTTTTTACGAGTATGTACAGACTACCTAGAATTAATAATTCTTGACTCTTGCAATGAAATACATATTGTTCTTTTACATAAGTATTTCGGATCTGAAAATCGTATGCAGGTAACAACATTGTCTTTGTTTGTTTGTATTCCCAACAACCAGAATGAACTTTGAATTGCCATATCTATATATTGGATTCCAAAACTTCTTAGAAATCCTAATAGATACATAGCAGGTTCCCGTATATGTTCTACCAAGCCTCTATCTTTATTTCTCACAAAAATATTAACAGTGGTGAAAGAGAAACATCAGGAGAACTGTGCAACAATATACTAAAAATGAAGTAAATTAGATTTGGATGGTTGAAAATTCCAGGAAACTTTTGGAAAATCACAAAATTTTACCAAAATTTACAGTATAAAAAGTTACTTTTCAACTTTATATACAACTATTCCCCATGCACGATGATTTGAAGTCCAGGCTTTTTGATATCATCGACAGCTGCTTTTTCAATACAAATGGAACTCTTAAAATCACTTACCTTACCATAAGTCATTTGAAAAATTATTTTGTTAACAAGAGGCCCAGGGGCCACAGCGCTCACCTGAGCACATCGGCTAGGGAAAAGCACATATCAGATCAGAACTGAAAGTTTACTGAGGTGGGGGGGGGCTTTAATTTTCACTCCCCAGGGGATCATGATTTGAACGAACTAGAATCTACACTACATGAAGATGATTCCATATAAATATTACTAATCATGGCTTTGAAGTACATGTACTTGAAAAGAAGATTTTAAAAGGTTTCCCTATATATTCCTATGTAAAACTTTTAACGGCCATTGTGGCCACACCCTACCCCCGGGGGTCATGATTTGAACAAATTTGAATTTACACTACCTGAGGATGCTTCCCTATAAGTTTCATCTTTCCTGGCACAGTGGTTCTTGAGAAGAAGATTTTTAAAACATACCATCAAATGTTCACTATTTCTCAATTATCTCCCCTTGAATCAGGGCGTGGCCCTTCATTTGAACAAACTTGAATCCCCTTCACCAAAGGATACTTTTGCCAAGTTTGGTTGAAATTGGCCCAGTGGTTCTTGAGAAGAAGTCTAAAATGTGAAAAGTTAACGACAACAACGACGACGACAACAACGACAACAACGACGACGACGACAGACAACAGACAAATTTTGATCAGAAAAGCTCACTTGAGCCTTCGGCTCAGGTGAGCTAAAAAGCATTCTGATTGTACATACTAGTACTCTAAAGTTGATATTGAGAAGTGCTTAAGTTTCTGATGGAAAATATTCGTGTGATTTTCAACAATGTATTGGAATTCCCATGGGTACCAATTGCGCCCTGTTATTAGCATGTACCTATCTTTGTATTCATATAAAACAGAATTTGTCAAAAATCCTATTCGTTAAAAGAAGAAAACACTTGCGGTGGTCTTCAATTCGACATTTAGATACCATGTATATCGACGAGGCATTGTCAGTTAATAATGGTTATTTCTATTGTTATGTCAATACGATATATCCTGGTGAGCTTGAAAGGGTTTAAAGATCGATCACTGTTTGTTTTCTTCAATACAGTTTACAGGTGATACGTGGTATAAGCGTGAATAGAGGTAAAATTGATGATGGAAAAGTTAGAGTCATCTCGTTTGTCATACAATTTAGTAGTTAGGCCACACGAATTTAATTTCTTGTTCGTCGGACATTGAAGAAAAAAGTACGAGCGGGCTAGCGGTTAAATAATAATATTATTACTTTATTGTAGGCAAAATTTTTAGGCGGGGCGTGAAAAAATTTGAGCGGATAATTATAAGTAGAGTAAGTAGATTAAAAGTACAATAAATAGAGCGGAAATTGAGCAGAAGATGGCACAGAATTCCCATGGTGCCGGAAATTTAAATTAATATTATTTGATAAGTTTTGTTTAATTACGAGCGCGCGGGTCCGACGAACAAAAAAAATTATTGGTGTGGCCTTAGTTGTCCTTTACCGTCTATATTGAATAGGCATCTAAATAGGAAGCGGATGTGGTAGACTGATGTGCCCTTTATTTCGAGATCATTTGGATATATCAAATTGAATGGAAATATTTTCCTTGTGCAGAATTTTTTTTAAGATAGATTTTGCCTCAAATAGAAATATAGAAGGAGGTCGTCTTATAAAGGTGTCATATTGTAATTTTTGATATTTACCGGGTGGTAGTATATACGAAAATTACTATATGACAAAGGAGCAAAAAAAATGGTTATAGTGTTCATCGGAATTTCAACGTTGTTTTTAACTGATAGTTTCTAACGATATTTACTTAAACACACAAAGAACCTAAATGAGTTACATGAATTTTTTAACATTCTTTTAAACATTGTACAATATGTGATAGTATTGATTTTATATACAGTCAATTCTCGAATTATCGCCATTCGATTCATCGCCATTTTCGCAATACCGCCATGATTTCCCAAGAACGTTTTTCCTGCTATATAAAATTCTCTTTATAACGCCAAATTCAATTCTTTATTTCCTTATGCCAAACGGCATATCAGACAGATACATGTACATAATGGTTGTATTACAAACAAGGTATACATATATTCAGATCTTACAATTGTATAATAAATGTTTACATAACATATCATGAGCTATGAACAGTTTAATAAATCTTTTCTTCGTTGTAAAGCAATGAACAAAAATTTTCCAAATTTAGACATTTCTTTAACATTTTGTACACTTAACAGTTGAATTAATTTAAAGACACTAGGTTTCTTAACATAATACTGTTTTATATATTGGATTCTGAGATCTTGATAAATAGGACATTTCAATATAAAATGGAATTCATCTTCTACATCATTTAAGTCACATAATAAGCATTTTCTGTTAATTCTGTTTTCATTAACATATCTACCTTCTTCTACCCGTAATTTATGACTAGACAGTCTAAAGCTTGTAATACATTTTTTGTATGCATGTTTAATAGGTTTTGATAAATAATTCTGTAAACAAAAATGGTCTATAAAATGTTGATACAACTTTCCTTTAGTAGACATCTTAATACTATGAAGGATTTCTTGACTATACACATCAAAGAATCTTTGCTTAACAATAACATATTCTCTACGAGTGTCAAAGTTTTGAAACAAGAGATAACTTAAACCAAGCTTATCAAATTCATTCTTAATTTCAGTAAACCATTTGTCATTATTCCTTACTCTTTCTTCATAACAAGCTTTCAATATACAGTTGTTTGTATTTTTAAGTTTAAGCCAATATTTCAAAATTTGAAGTTTCCTTAAAAAATACAAAGGTAATCTGCCTAATTCATAATATACCATATTGTTTGGAGTACATAATTTCACACCCAAGACTTTCTTACAAAAATTACTATGAATTTTTTCAACATCTTTAGCCTTGTGGAAACCCCATATTTCAGCTCCATATGACAAAACACTTTTCACATATGTATCAAAAACTGCACATTTTGTTTCTATGTTTAGATAATAATTATTCATTCTTGAGTTAATTGCAAAAAATGCCTTCCGACCTTGATCGGCAACATGCTTCTGAGTGATATTGAATTTCCCATTATAATTAAAAAGCATACCTAGGTAATTGAATTCATTGACAATTTCAAGTTCTTTATCCTCGTACATAAATTTTTCAGATATCTTTACATTTCCTTGATTTCTAAACACAACAATTTTTGTTTTTTCAGTGTTAAGTTTCAACTTCCATTCTTGATTATATAAAAGTAAAGAGTCTAACAATTTCTGCAGTGAATCAGCAGATTCAGCCATTAGTAAATTGAACTCAAAAGATGGACAGTTGTTTCTTATAAAATGTAATTCACAATCATTCACGAAAAGAGAGAACAATATTGGTGATAACACCTCACCCTGTAATAGACCAACTCTATTTTCAAAAAATTCAGACATCACACCATTTGACTTAATACATGATTTAACAATGGTATATAGTGATTTTATTGTTTTTAATAGTTTTCCTTCAATGCCCTGTTTTATTAACTTAACCCACAGGCTGCTCCTATCTATAAAATCAAATGCTTTTTTATAGTCTATAAAACAACAATATAGTCTTCCACCTCTGCGACTTAATTGTCTGGTAATCATTGTATGTAAAACAAAAATGGCATCAGTAGTAGAGAAACCTGGTTTAAAACCAAACTGAGCATCTGATAATATAGAGTTTTCCAAATCCCATTTTAATAGACGACTATTTAAGACAGATGTATAAAGTTTACCTAAACAACTAGTCAATGTGATACCTCTATAATTATTGGGGTCATTGGGGTCCCCCTTTTTGAATACAGGGACTATGTAACCTTGAGCCCACGATTCTGGAAAATACCCAGTACTAAATATAGAATTAAAAAGTTTAACTAGACATGGTACAATATGGCTTTTACATGTAATGAAAAAATCATTCAACATACAATCTTCTGCACAACTCTTATTGCGCTTTAATTTGTTAATTGCTTCATATACTTCTTCCCCCGATATCTCTCTATCTAACTCTTCAAAGATAGCATCCCCTGTTATATCATTATTTGACGGTTGATCCCTTTCTTCAAAACTTCTATGATCATCATCCATCAAATTTTGAAAGTATTCCACAAACTCATCAATAGATATTGACCTATCAGTACATGATTTTTTATCTTTTGAGAAAAGCTTAAAAAAGTGTTTAGGATTGTTCTTCCTTAAATATTCAAATAAATTTCCCTCATATCTCTTATAATACTTCCTACATTTATCTTCATACTTTTTATAAATTGTTTTATAGTGAATCAAAGATTGGTGATTTTCTGTAGATTTACACTTATTAAAGTTATGAAGTGCGTTCTTATATTCCATATATTTTGATTTACACTCATCATTGAACCATGGTTTATCTTCAGTTTTCTTATATCTTATTCCATTGCTGCTGGGAGTTCGTATATCACACTGAGGTAACACAATGTTGTTAATAACATCACAAAAGGATTTAACACAACTATTTACCTCATTCTGATTACATATAGGTGTATTAACAATGTTCATCAACTCTGACATATTATGTTGGAGAGCGTTTGTAATTTCAGTACAGTTCGCTTCGTTCCATTTTACAATTTTACTTACAGTCCGAACATTCCTACTTATATCTGTACATTCTTTTGTGTTACCGAAATTACTTTTATCACATTTTACATGGAAGAGTAATGGGGAATGATCAGAGAGAGTATTAAATGTACCAACATTGAATTTTTCAATATTCTGTATCATATCTTGTTCACATAGAAGGTAATCAATAACACTTGTTCCATTTGTACTGCAAAATGTTACACTACCACTAAGATCATCGGGATGTCTACCATTAACTATTCGTAAACCTACACTTCTACATAATGTTAACAATTGTCTACCATAATGGTTAATACATTTATCTTGTGTTTTTCTTTCAATGTTACAAATGTCAGAAGTATATAAGTAGAAAGGTTGTAATGTATCTGTAATATTTTCATTAATATTATCATTGGTGATATAATCATCATTTTCTCCGCATCTGGCATTGAAATCACCCGATATAAATATATGACCATAAGTACTATATTTAACAAGAAGATCATATAAGCATTGGAATAAGTCAATTTCCTCTCGCTCATAGAAAACACTTCCATGGGGAGGAAAATAACAGAAAATAAGGTATATAGGTTTACCATTGAGCTGAACATGATTTAGTTTTAACACTACTATAGTATCAGAGATATTTTCTAATAAGCAGACATATTTAAATATTTCTTTTCTAATAAATATAACTAAACCACCTCCTCTACCAGTCTTACGAGGAAATTTAAGTGATTCATAACCATCTACAAAAATTATGTTACAATCATTCTCTGTTATCCAACTTTCAGAAACACAAACCACATCTGCTGAATTAACTATATCAATAAATTCACTTTCTGTTTGCTTGTTCTTGAGTCCTTTGCCAATGTTCCAAGAAAGTACCCGGAGCGGATTAAGGCCGCGGATAGTGTCCAAGTCATTACATTTTGAAATCGGTCCCGCGACCGCAAGATCCTATCTTTCCATGGTCTCAACATCGGGTTCGGAGTTCTCCTCCTCATCGTACCCCAGGGCCTCGTCACCCTCATATAGTTCTCCGTTAACATACAGTCTGTCACGCACCAGTTTTACTCTGTCACCTTCTTCCCACAGTCTGTTCATTATCGGCTTTAGACAACGCCTCTTTTCTGCCATGGCTGATGGATATTGCCTATACACTCGGTATGGAGTTGATCGCAGGCGTGATGACTGCTTGAGGCACAAGTCAAGGTCACCTTGATATAAGAACCTTGCTACAATAGGTCTGTTATATCCTCGACGGTGACGCCCAAATCTGTGGATGTTAATGAACTCTATATGCCTATGGATACCCATTTCATTGGATAGGAAGCACTTCAATTTGTAGTAAAGGTCTTCTTCTTTACTTTCGTACCCCAAATTGTCGAATATCAGGTTCATCTTCATTGAGCGGTATTGTAGATCAGTAATATGCTCATCTGTCTGCTTGTTGACCCTTCTCACTTGATCTAGGTTCTGGGCCATGTTTTGTATCATGTTGGCATGTCTGTTTAACTCTGTTTGTGTTTTATTGGCTCCAGCAGATGCAACATCCTGGGAATGTTTAAGATCTTTCACATATTTCTGCATATCAAGTAAATGTTTTTCATGGTCCCTTAGTTTTGTCTGAATCTGACTCGACAATGTAGTGTTACAGATTTTCCCCTTACCCAAAACAACCCACAAGATTGGATCAACCCAATTTATGCCCTAAATATTAAATGTACATGTCGTAATTTTATTTGTAAATATCATGGGAATATCACCAATCATCGTATGTTATTAATGTAGGCTTTATAATTCATCGTATATGTTTATCAAACGAATATTGTTTGGTTGTATAGTACAAACCCGAATTTCCTCCATTGATTAATCCCATCGTTATAACAAATGGCCGTCTGGCATTGTTATTCAACTGATGTAACTCGAAATACACTTGGCATCATCTCCAAAGTAATTCCCAACCAATAATTCATCCTTTTCCAGCGTTTGTAATACTTTTTAAAGCCTTGTTTACTTGGTGCAAAGTTGTTTACAAATGTCGCGCGAATACTGGCGGTACCGCTCGTTATTCGCGCGTGAGGTAATTCGCACCTACCAACCAAAAGGTATATAATAAACGATCCGAGAGACAAACGCCAGTAGTGCTTGCGCTGCTCAACCAGGCATGGTGCCTTCAGTGCCCATCAGACTGGTACTCTACCCATAGGTACATTTTGTACCATTGGTTTGGGTAGGCTGATGCCATTACAAACCCAGTGATTTTGGGTCCCCATCCTTTTTCTGGGTAAACTCACCATTTTGTGAGTAAAACACCCATTTTCCCCAGTATTTGCCACTTTTTGTTGATTTTGGCCACATTTTAGTAAATTCCTGACTTTTTAGCTGTTTTTCTTGATTTTTAATAAATTTATAGAAAATTGACCATCTTTTCTTATTATTGGGTAAATTTCAGAAATAAGAGACCCACATATAATTTCTGTAACGGGGTAAACCATAGAGTGGTAAAAGAATACAAAGTATTCAAAAACCACAACTATACCCAGAAACGTTACAACTGGTGTCAGAAGTGGGATTTTCTCTTTCTTATTTTTGTTTACCCAGAATTAAGAAATAGATAGAAATCATTTTATACTTAGGTACAATTTTATTAATTCAATACATTTTATTGAAATTGTCCATTTTTTTGTACAACATGGAATTTGAAGAAAGTTTTGAAGTAACTTGTAGGTCCCGGTCATCTTCACCCAATAACTTGGAGGATGATAGGATGGCCACTCCCGTTTCCAATCCTCCTTCTCCATCAAAGGCATCAGATATAGCCCAACCTGTGAATGAAAAGCAATTAGACGCTATCATGTCTATTATGCAAAATGTAAACCAACAATTGTTGGGAATGACAAATGAGTACCAAAGGTTGAGAGAGCATGTTGAAAATTTGGAAAAAGAGATTAAGAGTCCTATGCAAGATAGGGGAGACAATCATCGCTTTCCAAATTTTATACCCAGACCCATTCACCCAGTGAATTCTTATGACAATTTTCCTCCTTGCAATCATTCAAACCCTGTTTATGGGCAAAGGGAATATAACCCCGGTACAATGTCGGGTACCCATTATTCCCCATTACCTGAAATAAACAGGAATGAAAACAGAATGCCTTACCCTTGTACACCCAAAACCCATGTGACAATAAAACCCCAAACATTTGATGGCTCAGAGGACTTTGACGAGTACCTCGCCCAATTTGAAATTTTAGTTGACTTGCATGGGTGGGACTATAAAACAAAATCTCTGTACCTTGCCAGTAGCCTTACGGGTGGTGCCCGTGCCCTACTGAGCGAATTAAATGAAAATCAGAGAAGAGATTTTAACTCCCTTGTAAAAACCCTAAACAGGAGATATGGCTCCATTGAAAGATCTGAAATGTACCGTGCCCAACTCAAAACCAAAACCAGGGGTACAAATGAATCATTACCCGAATTGGCCCAATCTATTAAAAAATTGACCCGTCAAGCATACCCAACAGCTGACCCAACCATTATAAGCATTCTGGCACTCGATCAATTTATTGATGCCCTACCAGACCCAGATATGCGATTAAGGTTGAGGGAAGCTAAACCAAAAGACATAAACGAAGCAGAAATTTTAGCCGTTCGATTAGAAACTTATAGATTGGCAGATGCCCAGAGAAATAAAACTGTCAATGTCATTCGTGACACTGACCCTATTTCATCATTAAAGCAAGATAATCAAAACTTGCGGGATGACATACAATCCCTTACCCAAGAAATCAGAGCCCTTATAAGAAATGGTCCAAGGCCAACCCATAATTTTGGGCAAACCCCCTATGAAAATTATTACAATATGGGGTCTTATGAAAACCCAGTCAGACCTGAATACGAAGGGCATGAACCCACAAATTATGAACCAAGACCCCAGGGTCCATCCTACCAAGGAAATTCAAACAAAGGGAGCAAATACCCCAAAAACCCAAAACAAAATCCTTTCCGACCTCAAGGACAGGGAAACTACCCAGAGTCGAATTCGGGGGTCGGAAGTCGACAGGTTCAAGGGGTAGGCCCCAACACTTGCCATTAAATATGGCTCAACCACTCTCACTAAAGCCCAAACCCAATATTGAAAATAAAACAGAATTTGAATCTGAGAAAGAAACCCTTTGTAATACACCTACCCCCAAAGAAATTTTAGTGAGAGATATAAACGGGGGAAATGATGGAATTTATGTATTTGGAAAAATTGGAAATAAAGAAACAAATATATTAGTAGATACAGGTGCTAGTATGACTATTGTCAGTACCCAATTCTTTCAAAATCTAGATGCTGAGGAAAAGCCCCAAATTGCCCCAGTATCTATCAAACTTACATCTACAAGTGGTGATGCAATCCCGGTTAAGGGAGAATGCTTAATCAAAATATCACTTGAAAATGTTCAAGTTACCCATAAAGTACTTGTGGCTGGTATACAAAACCCATGCATATTGGGATTAGATTTTATGACCAAGAATTCATGTGAACTTTTTGTAAAACAGATGAAACTAAAGGTACAGGGTCTAGACATTCCCTGCTTTAGTACATCTTGTGTAAAAGTTGTGTCTTGTGGCAAGATAAGTCTTGCCGAGGATATTGGAAATCCTCCCCATTGTGAATATATTGCTTCTGAAAAGGTAGATAAACCTTTGAATAAGGATGAGGTTGAAATAATAGAACCTATCCCAAGTTTTGTTGAGAAAAATGAATTGATGATTCCCCAAACCCCTGAAACTGTAGACAGAGAAGTCACAGTTTGTCACATGAATTTGAAAGATGAAAGTAGCAATTTTTATGAAAATACCAAAAATGCCACAGTCAAATGTGTTGACAAAGTACTAGATAAATGGGAAAACAATACCCAAACTCTTGATGCTCCTAGCCCAGAACTCAAACCCCAATTTCTAGACCACTTGCCATATTCTAATATTGAAAAACTACCCGAAGAAATTGCAAATGAATCAAAGCAAGAGTTTCAATTGAATGAAAATTGTCATGTAGCTTATGACAAGCTCAAAAGAGCCCTAACCAGTTCCCCGGCCTTGTCCTACCCTAACCATGAAGGATTATTGAATATCCTAAATACTGATGTCTCCAATAGTGTGCTAGACACTATACCCTCTCAAGGACAGAGTGATGTAGAAAAATCATCTATGCTGTACCCTACACTAAGCAAGCCATCCCCAGTTCATACCTTGAGGAATCCTTCCAGGCCAAGTGATGTACTTCCGGATATGTATCCTGACCATTTCCCCGTGATGCTGAATTCGTAACAAATGGATGTGTCGTCACGTGTGCTGGACCTTTTGGACATTTTGAAGGAATATATTATGTAACTGTGTTAACTGTATAAAAATGTGATTTGGATGAAATCAGAATACTTGTGGTGTGCAGATTTGCAGATTTGTGATTCGTCCCTGTCGTGACTTTTCCATTTCAGTGAATCCAGGAAGTGATGACGGATGGACTGTGATAAATAAAAACATTGTTTTATATAACATTTTTTGGTAAAATTTAAGTATCGATAATCGAATAACTGTTATTCATATTATTGTTATTCATGCCTATGATTATAACTTGTTGACCACATTGTATTTATTGATAATGATATTTGTATATGTATTCTTGTGGCCCACGATTATGTTTATTGCAAATGTTACTCATTGACTACGTTTTAATTACATGGCGATATTCCCATGAAAATTAGTCACCAAAATGAGTTATGATAAAACGATCCAACATTCGGGACGAATGTTTTCATGGAAAGGGGGCTGTGTTACAGATTTTCCCCTTACCCAAAACAACCCACAAGATTGGATCAACCCAATTTATGCCCTAAATATTAAATGTACATGTCGTAATTTTATTTGTAAATATCATGGGAATATCACCAATCATCGTATGTTATTAATGTAGGCTTTATAATTCATCGTATATGTTTATCAAACGAATATTGTTTGGTTGTATAGTACAAACCCGAATTTCCTCCATTGATTAATCCCATCGTTATAACAAATGGCCGTCTGGCATTGTTATTCAACTGATGTAACTCGAAATACACTTGGCATCATCTCCAAAGTAATTCCCAACCAATAATTCATCCTTTTCCAGCGTTTGTAATACTTTTTAAAGCCTTGTTTACTTGGTGCAAAGTTGTTTACAAATGTCGCGCGAATACTGGCGGTACCGCTCGTTATTCGCGCGTGAGGTAATTCGCACCTACCAACCAAAAGGTATATAATAAACGATCCGAGAGACAAACGCCAGTAGTGCTTGCGCTGCTCAACCAGGCATGGTGCCTTCAGTGCCCATCAGACTGGTACTCTACCCATAGGTACATTTTGTACCATTGGTTTGGGTAGGCTGATGCCATTACAAACCCAGTGATTTTGGGTCCCCATCCTTTTTCTGGGTAAACTCACCATTTTGTGAGTAAAACACCCATTTTCCCCAGTATTTGCCACTTTTTGTTGATTTTGGCCACATTTTAGTAAATTCCTGACTTTTTAGCTGTTTTTCTTGATTTTTAATAAATTTATAGAAAATTGACCATCTTTTCTTATTATTGGGTAAATTTCAGAAATAAGAGACCCACATATAATTTCTGTAACGGGGTAAACCATAGAGTGGTAAAAGAATACAAAGTATTCAAAAACCACAACTATACCCAGAAACGTTACAATGTGTGAATAAGATGTGAATTGTCACTCTCATATTTGTCGAATTTGTCGGATAAGAATTTGACAGATTTCTCAATGTCTCCATTCTTCTCTTCAACATCTTCCACCCGGTACTTCAGATTTTTCAAGCTCCCCCATTTTGGACTCGATCTTATCCAGTTTACACAATTTTCTAGTGATGAAGTCCAGCTTTTGATTTGTCGATTCTGTCTCTTTCTGTAGGACAACAAGTCTAGCTTGTACATCAACAAAGGTTACTATATGTGTCTGTGGATTAGCACTCAGTGGGGATGGCAATTCAGATGTCGGTGTAGATGTAGGTATAGGTATTTGATCAGAGGTAGGTATTTGATCAGAGGTAGGTATAGGTATTTGGAAAGATTCACCATAAAGTACTTTGTTTACCTCATTTATGACATCACTGACCAATGGCGCCAAGCTACCCTCATTGTCACTTACATCGGAATTCACAGAGTTAGACAACTTTTTCCTCTTCTTACTCTTCTTTTTCCCTTTTTCGGCGTCTGAGGCCATGTTACAGGTGTTACAGGTGTAATATTAAGTTTCTATCACCAACTAATGCTCAAAAGAAGCATAAATCAACAAAAATTCTCAGCGCGGGGAAAAACACAACCATCCGCCTAGGATCCCGATCCCGGAAATTCGCATACCGCCATCCGCCACCCTGTTTTTAAAACAAACGTCCATTTTTAAGTGTCAATTATCTCGATATACCGCCACAGGTGCGTGTGGTCAGTGAAGCGCGGCTAATCGGTTGACACTATCCCTGTTGTAAAGTATGCAAAGACAGACAAGGTACATGCAATTTTAAAGTAATTAAACAAGAACTAAATAAACAATAATTTTAACATGAACTGTTATAATAATTTTGTTTTCTGTTTAATAAAAATAATTTAGTCACGGCTTCGCCACGAAAGCGGGGTCGTTGTTAAAGTACGCCGATAACTATAACTATATTATTTAGATGACCTCTGATTTAAACAATGCAAAGTTTGCTGAAAAAAATAATTATACGGCATAAATTGTAAACGTTTAATTAACAATGTTCCCATAAACAATAAATTTATTCAAGAATTCATTTTACTTATTATCGGCAATGTATCACGACGATCGACCCAGCATGTTTTTTTTTTCAATAGAATACCTGCAGATTTATTTATTTCATAACTGCACATTTTGTTTTAAATAGCGAATTTTTACATTAAAAAAATAACTTGAAGTATTTTTAATCAGAAATATGTTTTTATATACATGTACATGTAATAATAAAATGGTATAATAATTTCTAAGAACGGTAACTCTACTTCTTTTTTCCAGAAGATGGGATATTCAATTCATCGCCAAATTCGTTATACCGCCATGATTTCTAAATTACAAAAGGTGGCGGTTTATCGAGAATTAACTGTAGATTTAAAGTATTTTTTCTTTCAGATGCTATTGAAAGTTATGAAATAACTTTCAATAATAAACTTGATATATGGGTACTTAACACAAACAAAAGTTTGATGCATGGATTGAAATATATTTTTTGACTGATTTTGATTTGAAATGACATATTAAATACTAAATCCCTGAAATATAAAGAAATCGAAGGTTTTCCTTGTGGCTTAGATATGAGACTTTGTTTTGCTTTCTATATAATTCCATACATAATTTGGCACAATTTTTTTTTTTACGTTATGACAAATTCGTATGAAATTTTTCCCAATATTCTTGGTAAACATTATTCAGGTTATCAATTTAAATGTAAATCTATGAGAAATATTGCTGAATTCGCAAAATAGTTTGTGTTATTTATCCTTAAAATAAATATGTTTTATTTAAACATATAAATAAATTTGTAACAACTTCCTATAAATAAAGTCTACACATCTCTAGAGTTCTAAAATCAAAAGTTAACTCTTAAGCTTGAATAAATAAGTATAAAAAAGCTTTTGGTCAATATTTTCCCGCCAAAGCCTTTGACCCCCTTTGTTCTCTGTGTCTACTAACCCAGGAACAGTCAAACATCTCATCTTGTTTTCAATTGCTGCTTCCGCTACACAATATAAGATTCTTCATTAACGCGTTATAAGAAATATAATTATCATACTTTTTTAATTCAAATATGTAGACGATTATTTTGTAAACTCGTACATGCCTTGCAATTACTTATAATGAATACTTACCTAATCATTGAATACATGTAGTTAAAATATGAATAGAAAAATCCAATTTATATTTTAAACATGGATGTTATTAAGTCATTTTCATTTTGTTCTAGATCTATAACATTCTCTATAAAAAGAAGATGGGCGCATTTAGCGAGTTATCTGCAGGAATCATTTGTACGAAACATTTATGGTTTAAATGTCCATGATTTGGTTTGCTAAACATAGCTGGTCTGATTTTACAAACACGTCCATAGGTTTTTTTTTTTATTTAGTTTGAAAGACCTTGTGGAATTGTAACATTTATGCCCGTTTTTTTCACTTTTCAATTACGCCCAGATTCCTGCCGAATGCCAATCAAAAGCGCCCTTGTTCTTTACAAGTACATTTTCATCATGATAACAACGATAGTAATTTTTTTAGAAGAAATAATTTGTAAACTTATATGATACTGCTGATACTTGAGACTCTTACAGACTTGTATTCAGAAGAAAGGATTCGATAACTACTTACAGTTTTTTTAAGTTTTTGAAGTTTTCCCTTGGAAACATTAACATGCTGGTATCTTCTATAAGACGTCGGACAAACGAACCATTCATTTTGATTAATTCGTCAGTGATCCCCGGGCTGCAGCCTAAAGAAATAACAACCTTAGAGAAAAGAATTCAAATTCAACCAAAAAATAATAATAAGCTTCAAATGAATAATTGAAAATTACCAAATAAGACAAGAGAACTCCCGAGTTCGTTGGACACCTGACGTAGAATGGAATCAACCAAAGTGGAGTTATCGTCCTTACAAAAGCAGTATACCCGGTGTGGGGTGGACATCCTCTGCAAGCAAAACAGTAACTCAAATTCTGATCTTAGTTTCCTCAAATTTTATTTCTAGTGATACTGGAGAATCACCCCTTCAAATATGTGGTATTTTCTGCTTGGATTGAATATTCGAATTACGAAAGCCTATTAGGATCAATCTAAAGAGAAAAAAATATTAAAAAGGCGTTATAACGCCTTTTGAAAAGGCGTAATAACGCGAAAAAGGCGTTATAACGCCTTTTGGAAAGGCATAATAACGCGAAAAAAAGGCGTTATAACGCCATTTGTAAAGGCATTAATACGCCCTTCCATTCCAAAAGGCGTTATAACGCGTTTCTAAAAGGCGTTATTACGCCTTTTTAAAAGGCGTTATAACGCCTTTCTAAAAGGCGTTATTATGCCTTTCCAAAAGGCGTTATTACGCCTTTCTAAAAGGCGTTATTATGCTTTTCCAAAAGGCGTTGTTACGCCTTTCAAAAAGCGTTATTACGCCTTTCTAAAAGGTGTTATGACGCCTTTCTAAAAAGCGTTATTACGCTTTTCTAAAAGGCGTTATTATGCCTTTCCAAAAAAGTTATTATGCTTTTTGAATAACCATTATTTTGCATTTAACAGGCTCGTGCTTTTGATAGCCCCTCTCCCTCTATACTGGCCAAATTCGTGGGGAAACTTCTCGGTAAAACTTTATTTAAATGCAATAATTATCCACAGTTTTACATACTGCAACAAACTGGTCAGGAACCAAGAAAGCCATAGTTAATTATTATATTTAAATTGTAGCAAGACTTTTCTCAAAAGTATGTATGTGTGGAGGGGGTACCCCATTCGCACTCGTACTACTGGCCTACTTGCAAAGGAAAATTTTTTTTTCTTTCTAGATTGATCCTAATAGGCTTTCTCGAATAGTAAATGACTATTTGAAAAAAAATGGTGATATCAGCAATTGGAATTGGATGCTGCGTGATAGCTAGGCCTTATAAGTATATACTACCTATCATTGGTTGGTACTGGCTTACTTGTTTCATATCAATTGTTTGGCCTTCGTTTTTTTACTGTAATTGTATAGGAAATGTTCTGGGGTCTGACCTGCTTGTCTGTTACTAAAACAGTCTTGAAATCTGGCCACTGGTCAACCAATACACGCTTGTCTTTTAGAACTCCTTTCCTGAGTAGCTTGACAGGATAATACGTCTACAGAAGACAAACATTAATATTATATAAGAGGATTATTTTGGTAATTTTCATTGGCTGAAAGAACGTCACGTGATATTCCTCCTTTTGTGATGTCGACGCGAAAGCGCGTCCGCGGAAAATGATATCGCACGGCACACTGTTCGGTTGCACTAAAGTTACGTAGAACTTGACGTCATAATATAAGAAGCGTGTTTTAACCATTGTGACGCAATGACAGCCGAGTCTGTTCAGTTAGGACTGTGTCGGTGCATTCACTTTGAGTGATTATATAATATAACTATTATGGACTTCAGTGAACGGTCAATATGTGGTTATAAGGACTCATGGCAATATTGATATTGACCTAAGACACAAAAAATGATAGCGACCTTGCAGGCTCCGTTGCTATCACTTTCTGAGTCTTCGGTCAATATCAATTGTCATGAGTCCTTATAACAGCATATCGACCTACACTGCAGTCCATAATTGTATACTATTGCATGAATTTACTTTTTACCTTATTGTTACATTATTTCGTAAGGTACCAGCGAAAATAAAAAAGGAATGAGTGTTACTTTTGTCTTCTTGTTATTTGATAGCAAATATAACTTGCATACATTGTTGTAAGCATGTAAACATGCAGTAATTAAAAAAAGACAATGAAAGGGTGAATAATTTGTATGTTGAGACAATCTGTGTTTTGAGATTGTTCATAATAATTTTTGTTGTCAATAATTTTAAATTTTGCCATGCAATATTTGAACTTATCTGATAAAATACCATATACATGTACTCCCAACACCATGTACTATGTCTGTAAAATATATAAACATAAATAAAATACTCTCAACATTCAAAATCTTTAGCCAATAAAATAGGAAATACATTGTTTTAACATAGTACGCTTGAACTAGAGCCGAGCTCGTTGCAAAGCAACGAGTAGGTCTTCAGTCGGAGCTGCGGACAGAGAGAAATGACCTTGAGTCATGGTCATGCCATGTTCTAATTTTAAAGCAATCTTTTAAGGGTAGATATCATCTTAATATGTTTTACTATTAAAAAAAGGATAGTAAAGGAATGTTTGCGACCTTGACCTTGTCAGAATGACCTTGGGTCACACCATAACACACGTTGGTGATGAGCATATCTCATTTGTGTGCTACCGTATTGACAAATTCACACATGTTTTTTCAAACAATGCATCCAGCCAAAATATCTTATTATAAATGACCTTGATTCAAGGCCATAACGCACTCTGCATGATTTAAGCCATACCTTTTGTTTAGATAGGCCTTGTCACAGCTAATATACATGTGTAAAAAGTTATGGTCAATTTTAAGCAATGTTTAAATTTTGGAAAAGCCCGATAAACTTCAAGGTCAAAGTTCATGATATACTAGTATTTGAAATGATTTTATCACAGGTTACGTACATGTGATGTTTGTGTAATATGAAAGCCTTATCTCTTCTCATTAAAAAGTTATGATCAAGCCTCAAGGTCAAGTTGTCAAAAGTCAGTGTATTTAGAAATACACAGGGATAAAATAAAATAAAAATAAAAGCCCTATCTCTTCTCATTCAAAAGGTATGAGTATTGTTAATGTTTTTGAAAACTTCAAGGTCAAAGGGTAAAAAATCAGTGAGTTTTGAAAGGTATTGTCACAGTTAATACATTTTTATAAAATGGAAGCTTTCAAAAGGTATGGTCAATTTAAAGTAATGTTATTTTTTAAGTAGGTCAAGCTCCAAGATCAAGGTCACAGGGTCAAAAATCACAGTATATTTGAAAATCAGATGTCACAAATAATGCACATGTGAAAAATCAAAGTCTTATTTCAACTCATTCAATAGTTATTATCAAGTTTAAAGTTCTCGTGACAGATGGACAGACTGGCTGACGAATAAGGTTTAATGTTCCCTAAAAAAATAAATACATGTAATTCGAACATGATAAATTGAGAAATACGAATAATAATAAAAAAAAATAAAAAATATTAGAATATAAATCAGGTTTCTTACATGAGATTTCTTTAAAAACTTATTAATACATATTATTCAAGTACATGCAAAACATGTACGTTGGAGGATCAAGACGCGGAGACCGGTCATTTCGATGAGAACATATATACAACTGTCTCGTTACGGGGTAGGTGGTGTCATAAAAGGATTAAATTCCTGAATTCCACGTCTGATTTTTTTAAAGTCTGTCTTTGCGAGGCTAGTGCTTTATATTGTTTCAACAGAATTTAATTTTATGAAAAGAATTATTTCAAATGTTTATTTTTGACATATGCTTAAATTTTTACCTATCAATTTGAGTTTAAATAGTAAAAAGGAATTTGTCACTCAGTATTTATCGGTCCTTCGGATGAGACCGTATAAACCGAGGCCCGTGTCACAGCAGGTGTGGCACGATAAAATCCCTCCCTGCTCAAAGGCCGTAAGTGCCGAGCATAGGCCTAAATTTGCAGCCCTTCACCGGCAATGGTGACGTCTCCATATCATTGAAATATTTTGGAGAGGGACGTTAAATAGTATACAATCAATCAATCTAAGGAATTAGTGTCAATCCTTTACAACCTGTCTTTGTTTTCTGTGACTTGATTTGATTTATTTTTCAAAATACAAACTTTAACTTTTTATTGCTTGACTTACGTTTAATAAATTTTCATCACAAGTTCACTTGTGTTACTTTAACCAAAAATATTCTATTAAAATAATGATTCCATCTTCTTTGTTAACTTTAAATTGCTAGAAATATAGTGTAAAAATCCAGAATGAAAATAAAGAATGTTAGAAATGACATTATTAATTGTCGGAAATGCAATGCAAAATTCCGGAAATCAAATGCAGCAAAAACTGGTACCTCCACTTACCCAAAGAAACTAATACATGATAATCTCTTTTAGTCCAATAAACACGAAAGAAAGGCTTGGAATATTTGTGTGAAATTACAGGGACCAATTTTGCATTTGTTAAAAAAAAATTTAATTATTCATTTTTTTCTCTCGTATTCTGAAAGCTCGGAATGTACTAGAATATATTTTAGGCGCTCTTCCGTGTAAGAAAATCAGGGAGCGGATGGAAGATCTAATTTTAATTAGATTGAATCATGTACCCGTAAAATCGTGTCATGGTGATATTCTTTTTATTCGAGGAAATAAAAGAAATACATTCGGTACAGTTGCTTCATTTAATTTTCGATTTTCATGAGAATTAGAAACGTCACTTCCACTTACAATTTCCTGTGTGCATTTGCCATGTTTATTTGTATTTGCTAATTTAAACAACATCGCAAATTTTTCTGATATAAAGCAATTAGAACTAGTGCTAATTGTAACGGGGACCGTTACAGATGTTCCCCAAACGCTCCCCAACTCCCTTTTGGTGCCATATTCCCTATAAGCTTCATTAAATAAGACAAACTCTATGCATTTGAGACTTTAACAACGTTTACCCAGAAGTGTACCAATTTTAGCATTGCACGCGTGCGCATGTGAAGGCACATGCGTAATGACCATATAATCTTGTCTTCACAATCTATATATTTTAATATACTAAATATCAAAGTATTTAATCCAAACGTATTAAAAAATACGCTAATTCAAGTGTATTTTTGATTTTACTCATTTCACGTGCACGCACATGCTCACATGAGCATGGCGACCATACTTTCTTGTAGAAGTCCATTACATCTATCTATGTTCTAAATCCCACCCCGTTTGGTTGAAAACCAAGGGAGTTATAGCTGTTCAAAGTTTCAAAAATCAGATTGCAGCACACGTACATGCACGTGTATGCATGTGCATGGTGACCATGTCTTCTTGTAGAAGTCCATCATATCTATCCATGTTCCAAATCCCATCCTGTTTGGTTGAAAACCAAGGGAGTTATAGCTATTTGAAGCATAAGCCAATCAGATTGCAGCGCACGTGCATGCACGCGTTTTCAAAATAATTGCTATATATCTTATTGTAAAATATCCTAATGCATGCCTATATTTAAAATTTCAAAGGATTTCGTCAAAAAACAAGAAAGATATTAAGACTTTAGTTTCAGCCAATCAGAGCAAAGCGCACGTGCATGCGCGTGAGATCTTGCTTTTTTGACCATGTCATCTTGTCTATGCTTCTAATATATACTTCTAATATGAGTTTTAAAGCATATCATCAATAATTTAAATAGTTACGTCTGTATCAATTATATTGGACATTTCTCGTGTTGCACGTGCGAGCTCTTGCAAGCACACGTGCATGCACATGCTTTCATGATATTTCTTTTATTACGGGCTGTAGATCTCCCTAATGTATGACTATGTTCAAAATTTCAAATGATTTTATCAAAAAACAAGAAAGATATTGAGACTTTAATTTCAGCGAATCAGAGCAAAGCGCACGTGCTTGCACGTGCGATCTTGCTATTTTGACCATGTCATCTTGTGCATACTATTCATATATCCTTACATTATGAGTTTCAAAACATTTCGTCTAAAAATAGAAAAGTTACAGTTATATCCATTATATATTGGTCATTTCAAGTTTTGCACGTGCGCGCTCTTGCAAGCACGTGCGCGCAAAATGACCTTGATTTCGCAAATCTACATAACATGCCTACTTACCCTAAAAAGGTTTCCCCTTAATCGGATGTGTACTTTACAAGATCATTCGCGGACAAAATTTTCCCGAGAAGAAAAATAATAATAACTAGAGCCGAGCTCGTTGCAAAAAAGTAGGTCTTCCGTCCTGTTTACCGAAAGTACATCTGTAACTTTCATTTTTCAAAAAAAATGAGTAATGATGTCTAAAAATGGTCTAATCCTCCAAATCTATATTAATTATTGCAATATTAAGCCATTTTGGCTACTTCCGGTTTGACCGGAAGTGACGTCGACGAACAAAAAATTACGATTTTAGCTTCCAGTGATATATTTAACCCAAAAACCTGTCAAAAACGGCAAAAATATGCAATTTATGACTACTTCCGGTTTGACCGGAAGTGACGTCACCGGACGTACTTTA